CAGCATGTGTGTGGCCTGTGGAGGGGCACCGCTGCCCTTGCCCCCTTGGCCCTGCTCCTGGGAGCAGGCACAGAGTGCAAGCTGAGGTGGGAGGTGGGGAGGTGCCGCAGTGTGCTGCATGGGGCCAGCAGCGTCCAGCATGCCCCACCCTTCCCCTGGGTAAGAAGCAAAGTATGGGAACGTGCCGGGAGACGCTGTCACTGTGCCCCCGGGTGCATTCTGTTCCCGTCCATCCGCCTGCGCATAGCCCCTACAGCCTTTCTAAATACCCCTAAGGGTACGTGTATTCCCAGTTGACAACCCCTGTCCTTGAGGGTAGGTTTAGGATTCAAAATGACCCCGATAAACTGGAACAATTATATGAAATTAATCAAATGAAATTTAATAAAGATGAGTGCAAAGTCCTGCTCTTAGGATGGAAAAATCACATGCACAAATACAGACAGGTGAACACGTGGCTAGCCTGCAGTATTACAGGAAAGGACCTGGAGGTTATAGTGGACCATAATGGGCTTTTTTACACATGCAAGCACTGCAGCACTGGGCGCTTTGAAATGTGCCTTGTGCTGTGACGCTTGCTGTCGTATAAGTGGTGAAATGTGCGTCAGTGCTAAGAAAATGGTGGCAGCATGCTTTTGAACTAAAACACATCAGAGGTGCTTTAGTTCAAAAGTGCACCACTGCCATTTTCGGTGTGTTCACACACATTTCGCCACTTATACAACTGCATGTGGCTCAGTGCAGTTTGCCTCAGTCCACGTGCAGAGCAGACTCAACTAATCAAATCTGCTCTGAAGCGGCAGATATCTGGCGTGTTGTGGGACAGAAAAGTATATGTATAAGTGCCCAAGATGTCCAGAAGCCAACAATTTTACTGTTGCAGAAAAGGCCATTAGAATACTAGGATACTAGGAGTGCCATATGTAAGTCATGGGAAGTGATTCTTCCACTCCATGCAGCACTGAAATACTATGTCATGTAGTGAGCTGTTATTCCTTTAGCCAGGCCCAAGAGCCACCCTTCTCCCTTTCCTACCTTAAACTAAACAAAATACCAACAAAATCTGCCACCTTGGGCAAGGGCTTCATCACAATGCTTCAGTGTTGCCTTTCTTTTCAGCTTCCCTTCTCTCCAGCATCATCTCTCGGGGAGCTTTTAACTTCCTTCACAGGCAACCAATCACCCCTGTCCGTTGCCCTAGTGCTCCTAGGTGGGTAGGCTAGTACCCTTTAATCCACTGAAGCTGAGCTTCAGCCCCTGAGCCATGTACCTTGTTACAGTCCCATTTTTGGTACCACACTTCAAAGAAGTCCACGTCTTATAAAGACATGAACAAATTAGGAGGTCCAGGAGAGAGCAACAAAACTGACTGGAGACCTAGGAAACATGACTTGCAAGAGAAGGTGGAAAGAACAGGGATTAACATATTTTCTTGCATACCATGTGCCCCCAAATAAAGCGCACACAGTGTAGAAAAAAAATTTCAAGAGTCACAACTGATTCTACGATAGAGACAGCAGGAGCTTGCCAGTATGGCAGGACTTCAACAAGGTTAGGCCCTAGAGCCTTGCAAAGGCAGAAGCAAGATTGTTACTTCTTTACTGTAAATAGTTTTTATATATATTCCTGTAAATAATTAAGTATTGTTTCCAGATCACAAGCCTCATCAAGATATTACAGATTGCATGCAGCAGCTCACTAGTCCTGAGCCAGCTCAGTTGCTGCTTCAAGCACAAGCTACAGTGCTCAGGAAACAGTGGCTAAAGAAGTGGCAGCCATTAGAACACAGTATCTCCCACCTTCTATTCCAATGAAATAAATCAGTTTCCTCACTTAAGTCATGCACCCCAATCTTGGAGGGCTAATTCTGGGGGGAGAGGTGTGTGTGATATGTAAGTAAATATAGCATAACTCTGGAGAAAAGAATTCTGAAGAGGGATTTGATAATGATCTTCAAATGACCTGAAGAGTGGTTATAAAGAGGACTGTGACAAACTATTTTCTGTGACTATAGGGCACAGGTAAAAAAATAATGATCTTAAATGTCATCAAAGGAAATTTAAATTGGGTCTTAGGAAGAACCTTGCTAATTAAGAGGGTAGTTAAACACTGGAATAGATTACCTAGAAAAGCTGTAGAATCCTCATCCCTGGAAGTTCTTAAGAGCATGTTAGATAAATATTTGACTGGAATGGTTTAAACTCAGATGATTCCACTATGAGCAAGGGGTTGGATTAGATTGCCTCCCAAGATCCCTTCCAGTCCTATTTTTCTACGATTTCTAAAAATAAATCGCTATAAATTGGCCATGAGTAAATTCATACCAAAAATCAGAAGGCTGCTAATCCTCAGGAGAGTGTGAATCTAGAACAGCCTTCCATTAGGAGTGGCGTGTCCAAACAAACCAGTTTTAAGATGGAACTTGATAAGTTTATGAACAGAATTATAAAATGTTCATAATAGCTGGGGGCTGAACTTAGTGATCCAAGAGGTCCCTTTCAGCACTAACTCCCTGTAGTGAATTGGAGCTATATTGACAAGGGAGACTAAGATGCCAAATGCCTTTTTAGATGTCTCACTCCAGGCTTCAGGCATTACTGAATTCATAAAACCCTTGCTCAGCTGCTGCCTAACACTGTAGGTCCTAAAATATATACTGCTGAGTATGTGCACAACTATTAATACTGTGACACAACTGAGCAATTAGGTTCCTAGCTCATAATTAAACCTTGACATGATTTACAAATTAGACATCCCCCTTCCTACCTTACATGGGGCGCTCAATCCAGTATGAATAGCTCTACTCAACCCTAGTCAAAATAAAAGAGTGCCAGGAGGTGGTAGTAACAGTATTCTCTTTATACACTGTAGCCCAGGGTTTGGAGCACTTATCACGGGTGTAGGAGACCTGGGTTCAACTCCATCTTCTGTGTGGGAATCCTGGTGGAAAAGGATGCCTAATTCTTTTTGAGTAGTGGGACTTTAGCCCCTGCCCCTCCCTGGGCCTGTCTTGCTGGCTGGCTTATCAGCACCTGCTCAGTTTGCTGGCCTCTGTGAATCTCACTTTACGGCATATAATTCTCTCCATGCATTGTGTAGGGGAGCTTAGTCACATAACCTGGGTTTATGAATTACACTGGACAGAAGGACTTTTGAAAACACAGAATCTAGGCTTGCAATTTATTTCTTTGGAAGCAGATACTGCCATTAGAATGGCATTATTTTTCACTGCAGTTTTCCTTTAAGGAGTATGAGACTAGACTTTTCAATGAGATGAAAAGTTAAAAATAAAAACAAACATAAACACACACAACTATGTAAAGCACTCTGCAGCAGTCCACCCCCAAACTGACAGCTTTGGAATGAAACAGGTTAATCTAATATATATATGGCTGGATTGCGCAAGTCTCCATGTATGGACATATGAAACATGCACAGTTCATCTATATCAACCTATGTAGTTGTAGGATGAAGTCAAAACCTTTGCAATTAAATTCTATGTGAGGACAGACCAGTCTTTTCAACACCCACCTGGTATGTGAGACAAGAAACACAAGCTGTTAATTTCAGATGAAATTGGACAACCAAAGGAAGCAGCATGACAAAAATCACAGACTAAAATCATTTAGTCCTTTAGAGGTACAACATTTTGCATACACCATTTTGGTGTACAAAATGTTCATATTACACCATTCCCTAAGATATGGGTTTTTCACCAGTTTTATCCCCAGTAGGAGGAATACAGTGCTACTAAAATCTTGACGTAATTGGGTCAAGCTATATGTATTCAGAGATGTAATTCAGTCATACATAAACTGGTGTGTAACAGATGGAATATTAAAAATATACTACTGGATATTCAATTACAGGAATGGCATATCATTCAAAAATACTGCATTACAGTGGCAAATTCTTGTTTTTTTCTTTAGCCATGTCTGGAAAAAAACATTAAAGTCACTTAACTAGCAAGATACAATGTCCCTTTTTCCATAGTCACATGACCATCCATGGACAATTGTCATGAATTCCAACTAGTGTTCATAACGTGTATTAAACACATCTTTTAGCAGCATCCTTAGCTGCCATTTCTATGGAATGTGCCCTCTGGCCCCCCATTCTCTCAGAACAGAAGGGTTATTGAGCAAGAAAGTCCTTGTGAAACAGCAGAGCTTGGAGTGTGCAGTAAACCAAATTTACTGTGCAGTATCCCCCCATCAGATGAAGAGAGGTTTTACTTCATCCCCTTAAATTTCATCATTGTTTTGCATGGGTTTTTGAAACCACAGACCATAAAATACCAAGAAAGAGAAGATAAACACAGTTTGCTCAGCTCACTCTCCAAAATATTCCAGTTCTTCAGTTGGTCATTGTTCTTGCTGTGTATGTCTTTCATATACAGTACTACTGATTGGGTTAAAAGCCTTCTTTTCCTGCTGTTTTTTGTTTTTTTTTACCAAGTATCACTGAAAGTTGACTTGTCTTTGCTCTGTGTCCTTTGTTGTTCTCAGTCTTTAATGATGGTCTTTGAGTTAAGAGCTCACCAAAGCGTAGATCATGCTGAATGTAAAAGAGAAAGAGACAATATGAAAGTATCTTTCTGAAGCCTGCAGAGCACTTTGATTGTTATAACCCTTTACCCTCCATTTCTCAAGTCTGACTCTAATGGCCTAAGCCTTCTTATGTTATTGTGACTCTCAGTCCTTCCATTCTCTATAGCAATTGAATTATGATGCATTCAAGATGGTTATCAGAAAGCACTTGAGATTTAACAAATTCATTAGCCATTTACCATCATGCCACAAGCTGTGTATGAGTTTAATAAAATGTGTTCTGCTGTCACTGTCTGAAAAGAACAGAAACAAAATTATTCTACATTTGCTTGGCTGATCTTTAAAACTACTCTCAGAGGCAAAGACAAGAGTTTCTATTAAAACTATGTGAATTTTCTTTCCATAGGAATAAACATCTTATGCAATGATAAAAAAATAAAGAGATAAGTTGGACATAATCTAATACATACTAAGTTTAATTCTGTATAATTATGAAATCATATATTGCCAAGGTCCTGTTTTATGGTATGTCTATCTCTGACAGCGCAAAACGGTTGGTGTACAGGATTTTGCAGTTCTTACTAGATCACTTAGGGCAGACTGTGGCTTTGAGTTTCTGGGATGAGAGGAGTAGAGGGAATGATGGAACTGACCATCAAGATGGCCTCAGGAGGGCTTTTGAACTCTTGTATCTAAGTGACTCTGTCAGGGTCTGCTGGCAAAAGAGATGGGGATAGAAAAAACATTGTCCCCCCCTCCACCGGCCTTTGACTCATCTTGCTCTTCTCAGGATAGTTAGCACTGCCAGAAGCACTAGTTTAACATTATCCATGCCCTTCACACTCAGATTATGCCTGACCCCTGACAATGCAAGAAAGTGCTGGATGGGGGAGGAAGAGGATCTCTGGCTAACACCCACAGAGATAGGTACCTGTCTGACTCCTGTTGACTTCTATGGGAATGAGGTACCTATGTAGAGTTTGGAACCAGTAGCATAACTAAGGGGGAAGAGGAAGGGGCTTGAGGCAACAGTCTTAGGCACTGCTTTTATCGGGGGACACAAAAATAGGTGCCACCATAACCAGCACCACGCTGGCCAGTGTTGCCCAGTGCATCATGGTTGCCCTGGGTATAGACTAGTGCCCTGCTAAGCTTCTGTTTGGCACCAAAATACTCCTGTGGGTCTGAGCTATTGTACCTTCCTATACTTTCATACTGTCCCCATACTTCCCACACTTCCTATACCTAGTCAGCCACAATTTTACTCATAATAATCATATCCAAATTTAAGCTCCACAGACATTACATTATCACCATTGCCAGCTGAGGGGACCTTCATTCCTCCACTGCAGTGTGCAAGCCACACTTTACAAAGCACTACACCATACCATGGTGTTTGGATAAGAATATTCTATACAATTGCAATTATAGGAAGAGGTCTAGGGGAATGCTAACGTGAAACAACACTTTTGTTTAAAGTTAAAAGCCTGAGTTTGAGTTAGTGAACTGCTTTTTAATGTAATGATATGGTCCATACAAGCAAAAATGCAAAGATGATGCAAGAGTCTTTTTAATTAGATGTGATCCCTGCCTAGTTCTTGGAGTAATTCCCTTAGTGCACATGACAATGAAGAGAGTATTGGATAAAGTGAGTGCATCTGTCAATCTGGAGTCTTTCCATTGACCTAGAGCACACTTTGGACCAGACCTGTATGTCTGGCACTAGAAACACTATGCCAGGTGTGTCTGGCACTGGTTAAGCTCTGAAATAGATTCCTTAGAAGCAGTAGTGTAACTAGGAGTTGGGGGGAAGGAGGGGGGCATAAGCCCCAAGCACTTATTAAGGGGGAGCACTGAAATGGAGGCAGGAGAGTGCCAGAACAACTATACTGCTACTCAGGCAGTCACAGGCAAGAAGCAGTGGGTGAAGACAGAAAGGCACCAAATTAAGGGGTTTATTTCTTTGCTCAGAATAGCATTTTGCAGCACCTATGGGACAGGCAGGGCAAGTGGCTTAACACCTTCGCTCAAGGATACCTTCTCCTGTAGTTGCTAGGATGCTAGAGCTTCCCTAGCTCTATCCTTTATGTCCTTCTCTCTCTCTGCACAGTTGAAGCCTGCAGCTTCCAGGATGTGAGAGTCCTCTTACCTTCACCCTCTGGGTCCTGGATATCACCTGGGGTCCATAGCTGCCCAAGGCACAAACCCTAGTGGATATGCCTCTAGCCCCATCCCAGCTCTGCCCAGGGCACTAAAAGAGCTTGCTATACCTCTGCCTAGAAGGATTGTGGAGTCTCCCACGCTGAATATTTTTAAGAATGGGTGAAATCAGTGCATGGGTGAAATGGTTTAGGCAGGGTTGATCCAGTTGTGAGCGAGCGGTTGGATAGGTTATCTCCTATGTTCCTTTCAAACTCTCTTTTCTATATTTCTGTATCATGGTGGAAAGGTAGTCCATGTACTGAAATGTACTGCCAAGTGTACCTTGCTGCTGCAGACCATAGCCTGAAGGCAACTTTGCCAACTGTTCTAGGTCAATGAAACCAACTGGGCCCATTTCCAGTGTTGTTTTGAGTGTCACATATTAAACAACTTACACATCACAGGGCAGAATTTAATCCTCAATTGGACATTACTAGCAGTGGAACTATTTTTGTTTCCTATAGCATAATTGTCATTTTATTTCATCTGAAGAAAAGTATACAAATGACTAGAAAAAGTTAGTTTCTTGGTGGAGATAAGCCCTTAATTGGAGGCTAAATAAAACTGAATTGGAAATCTTGGGGCTGCATCGAGATACTGATTTATAAAAGCACTTTAAGTACAGCTTAGCATTCAAGTCCGACAATTTCCCTGGAACTTAAGCAGATACATTAGCACTGGTTTCTTCCTATGCAAAATTATATTCCAGGAAGACAACAACATTATTATAAACCCTTAATCAGATTTTCCTTAGCTGTTGATTTTGAATAGACATGTTTTCCTGATGCAGAGTTTAAAAGTGGTTACTTGAGATGAACGGTACAGGTCTGCCTGTTCTGTTTGATCCTTAGAGCATGTTTTAACTTTTCACATGAAAAATAGCTCTCTCCTTTATGGGAATGATCAAACTTACCAGTAAAGATAGTAGAAGAATGAAAGGAGATAGAAAGCTAGTTTACACCAGGCCTCTTTCTGACAATAACTCAAGGTGTCTGCATTCATGACTGCAGGGGGATCGTATGCTAGCTCTGAACTATCCGCTGGGCAATGGAAATACCTGAAAGAGCAGGAGAAGACACCTGAAGTGACACTATAACATTCTAGATAAATGTATACAGGTTACAAGGATAAATGTATACATGTTACAAGCCCTCAGACCTTTGATCACCAGCTGGAATCAAGAAGAAATCTTTTGTCATGACATAACTGTAGACAAATGAAGGTTCTCAATATCTCTTTGAAGCACGAGGGGGGCATTGTTCATATCAAGATACCAATCTTAGATAGCAGTGGCATAACTAGGGCAGTGTGACCAGGGCAGCTACCCTGGGAAGCCACTGTGCAATTGTGCTGACAGTGTGGCAGCAGGCAGAAGTCCCCACATCCTCCATGTGAGCCAGGGGCCCAGCCATGTTGTTATGCCCCTGTTATAAAGACAGGTTCCAGCATGGTGCAGAGGCAGGCCCAGCAACTGAGGAGGTAGGGCAACAACAGTGGCAATGGCCAGAAAGCAACCAGGCCTACATTAGTCCTCACTTACGCTCCTGCCACCTATTGCTATGTCCACCATAGCCCTAAGGCCCCATATTCTGCAGCACGCCACTTCCCCTTGGCCATGCCCCCAACTCCACCCTGGCCATGCCCCCAACTTCTGTTTGCCCATTGGTACCCCAGCAAGCCATGCAGCATGGCTCCACAGGTCGGAGGTGGACCATGTGCCTGATGTTTGACACCCCTGTTCTAATACATGTAACACCTGCATATTGTGAGTGAAAATGTTACATCGCAGTATGATCACGGAGTCTAGATTTCGGAATTTTAACTGCAATTATGTCATTGACTGACTGTATGACAACAGGTAACTGAATCAATTAATAGGTTTATTTATCCATCAGTACAGAGGAAATAATACTGGCATAGTCCAAATGGCTTAATTAAAGGCCAGTTAAATATAGAGGTATCAAAATTATTGTCAAAACAGTTTTTTAAATGGAAAAGGCTGTTCTGAAAAAGGGAAATTGGCAATGTTTGGTGAAGATATTTTTGTGTTCCAGAGAATCTAAAAAAACCTGAAGACAATCTTGACAAAAATAAGTTTTTATCTGAATTATTTCATAGGAAAAAAATCTGCTCAATCTTAGCTAACTGATTTGTGATTTTTAGGTGAAGTATTATTACTATATTTACTTGATTCCAAGACAAGATTTTTTTCCCCATTTAACATGCGGGTGGGGGGAGCCCCTTGTCTTGGAACTGAGTATGTGGTGATGGCGGAGACAGGTAGCTGCAGTGGCTCTGGCCCTAACCCAGTGTTGGGGCTGGAGCTACAGCTGCTGTATGCCCTCCCCCCCGGCCACTTGTCTCCTGCACAGAGGTGAAATTCTGGATGAAGCAACTTCACTGGAAATATGATTTCACCCCAGACCTTCCTATCCATTTTGTCTAGTAATGCAATTACAGGTGGATTACCAGGGCACCAGCCCCAGGCACCCACTTTGAGAAGACTGAAAAACCAGCAGCTGCTGCCAATGCCTGTTCAGCTGCTGCAATTACTACAGCCAACCCAACCCAGCCTCTGCCGCTGCTGCTACCCAGGGCATGGGCCCTGGCAATTATGCCTCGGATTTTGTCATGATATCTAGAGGTGTCGCCCTGGAGGCTCCAGGCTCTCTCCTCAACATTCTGGCTGGCTGTCTTCTGGTGCAGACTAGATCCTGCTCCCCAGACTACTCTGCTGGACAAAATTCCAACCAAAAATAGCATGATGACCGGTTCTTGCAGCTGAGTTGGGAGGAGCACCTGCTAGGAATTTCCAGGAGTTTCCCCCCAGAAATTATGCTAAGAAATAAAGTCTGCCATCCCTACAAAGTCAGTATGCCTATAATTACCAATTGCTCTGGAATCACTCTCTCCATGAACAATCTGTAATGTATGGAACACAGTGTAAGATACAGTGGGCACATCTACACGTGCATTTGATTTGGCCTAAAATTCCTCTGGTGTAAACTACTGTGGAGTAAGCGCTTTTGGGCAAGTGTCTACACATGCAGCAATTAAGGTGCAGATTTGCTGCTCTTTGTACCAAGTTTCCTGCAGCTCTGTAATGGGTGCCTCCTGCCACCAGGGACAGCTCTAGGCTCCAGTTGCAGCTGCTAGCACCTGGCAGCTATCTTTAAAAGCCAGCCCTGCTCTACTCTCTGGCCAGCCACTTCCCTCCTCAAGAGCAGCGTGCCCAGCACAGAGGCAGCACACGTCAGCTCTCTCCTTGCCCACTCTGCCTCCCCATTCTACGGCTCCATTCTATGGCTGCTCCAGCCCCTGCCCCTGGCAGCGATGACCAGCACCCTGGGCTCCTGCTAGCCACCATGCTAGCCCTGCTGACCCGCTGCACCAACTGCTGCTTGGCGCCCGGCCATTTGGGCCTGCCCAGTTCACTGCAGCATGCCATCCCAGGGTTGCCGCCACACAGCTCCTGCCAGCACGGATGCTGACAAGGGGCTTAGGGACGCCACTGTCACCCTCCTAGGCCTCCGGCCCTGCTGCCTCTGGGGCCACCAGGCCAGTCAGGTCAATGAGCAGTGTACGCACCTCGGACAATGAGCAATGGCTGGAGGCCATCCACATGATCTGGCCCACCTTCTGCAATCTCATGGAGCAGCTCTGGCCACACCTGGAGTGGAAGGACACTAGCATGAGGCCACCCCTCTCCATGGACACTCAGATGGCCCTCTCTCCACTCAAACTGGCCATGCCCGCCAGCCTGTGGTACGTCGGACACCTTTTTGGTGTAGGCAAGCCCACCATTGAGGAGGCATCCTGGAGGTGTGCAGTGCCCTCCACAATGTGCTAGAACTCCCAGTCTCCCAGTCCTGCACATCCTTGTGCCAGTCCCTCGCCTCCTCATGGGTGACATCCTCTGCCTGCCAGGACCGTGAGTCCTCCAGTTGGTCCCATAATGTCACCACCAGATGCTCCAGGAGGACAGTCCTGTCCTGGGTTTTCCTCTAGTGAAGCTGGCACACCTGCAGGGCCCCATCTGTGGGCGGCAGCGACCCTGAGGCTGCATCCTGGCTGCTAGGGGCAGCCTCTCCCCAGCATGCAACTGTAGGGAGGACATCACCACTGGCATCAACATGTTCCTTGGAGAGGCCTGTGGCCACCTAGCTGAGGGAACATGGAGTGCTCAATAAAGTTCTGTGCTGTCTTCTATCTCCCTGTGCTCTGTGGGGGGTGGGGGGGGAACCTGGGGCCAGGGAAGTGTGGGAGGGCTGGGCAGAGACAGGGGGCAGGGATGGAGGAAGGACCCTCCCCCCAGCTCAGTCCTTACCACATGGCCTTGGCTGCCAGCTCCACTCGGACCTGGCTTCCAGCAACAGTATCTGGCTCCAGGCAGTGTCCTCAGATGGAGGGGCACAGTGTGCAGATGCCTGGCCAGGGCCCCACCCTGGGAAGAAGCAGGCACTGGTGGCAGCCAGCAGAGTTGTGGCCAGCTGCACCTCATAGCTGGGCCTGGGGCTGTGGACCTGCAAGGCAGGGACTGACCGGGGCTCCCTGAGTTGCTGGTGGAAACTGTAGCTGGGGAACTCAGCAGGATGGGATGCTGGGCACCCAAGGGGCCCTCCTCTAGTGATATGGCACTGGAGGTGCCAGGCTAGGGCAGGGCTGGGAGAGCACAGTGGGCACAGGGGCTTGGGCAGGCTGCCCATGCTGCTAAAAATAACAGATGCAGCCTGGGTCCTGGGGTGCAAGAATGGTGTCCAGTTGCCACATCAAGGGCATGGACTTATAGGCATGGCTGGACCAAAGATTGTGGTTGGTCATGGCAACCCATTGTGCCCACAAGGCCTTGATCTTTATGCAGCACTGCTGTGCTGATCAGTTGTGGCCACGCACCCACATTCAACCTGACAGCACCCCATATATGTGAGTGCTGGAGCACCCACCCCACTCAAACTAGTGCTGCACTTCTGCCCTGCCCCACAGAGCCATAAGGTCACCAGTTTCTTCCTTGGTCCAGTTGAAGCCCCAGGTGGAGGGCACAGGCATGGGCAAAGACATAGGCATGGGCCTGGGTGAAGAGGCTGAGGCCATTATGGGTCCCACGCTGGTTTTCTGGGCCCCTGTGCCCCTGTCCCAGTGCTGCTAGGCCTGGGCAGCTGCCTGAAGTACCCAGCACAGGGCCACAGCACAAGACTGGCAGCCGCACAGCAGAGGCAATGCCCCACAGAACCTGCAGGCAGAGGGCACAGGACCTGTGGGCCAGAAGCTGCCTGCAGGTAGCCCTGGGGGCTGACAGGCATGGCCAGAGGCTGCAGCCACCTGTAGCACCCTGCTGGCCTGCACAGCACTGTCCTGGCAGCTGCACAGCAGTGCAGTGCCAGGTAGCAGTGCTGGCATGCTGACAGGCAGGCACAGCTAGACTGTGGCCTGCCCAGGGGGACACAGGGGCCTGGAGTGCCTTCAGGCTCCCTGTCTGTGTGCCCCAGGTCTCAAAATATTGGCAGGCTTTTAATGCCTGCAGACAGGGGCTGCCATAGAGGCAGCCTAGCCCTGGGGCAGAAGAGGCTCCTAGTCTGCAGCCCTGAGGCCAGCCCCTTAAAGGCTGGGCAGACCCAGGAGCAAACTTGCTGCTAGGTTGCATCTACACATGCGTTACTGCACAGTAACTAATCCCACTTAAATTTACTACTTGCATTTGCAAGTAGCAAATTTAAGAGGGATTAAGGGTTGTTACTGTGCAGTAAACTACACTGATGTGCAGTAACGTGTCTCATGTAGATGCACCCTGTGCAACCTGAATGTAATGCACTGTAATGTAAATGCATGAGCAGCCCTGCTGACCGGATTTGGACAACAACTCCCAGGAGTCCATGGGGGGAACAGTCTTGCAGAACTGTGCTGAATGCATGTAGACTACAACCTCCAGAGACACTGGGGCAGGGAGACAGAGAGAGAGAGAGAGAGAGAGAGAGAGAGAGGAAGCAGGAAGCAGCTACAAAGCGCAAGACACAGCGGCAAAGGAAAACGTGTGGCTGGAGATCTCAGAGGAGTGACAGAGATGTGACTATAGATCGTAGCAGCAAGATTTAGACATGGAAGCATGTGCAGATGGCAACTGAGCACTCTCAGGATCAAAAGCTGGTTTGGAACACCTTCAGAGGTGTGGGAGAGTTTAAGGTCTCTTGAGTTTATGTGCCACAATGGTAGTGCTCACTTCCTGTTACCTGTTCTTGCATGAATTCACATAGTGTTACTTAGGTTACTATATTTCCAATTTTAAAAAAAGAGGACACTTGTGAGGGGGTAAGGGAAAAGAGGATGAGGGGGGCAGGAGAAGGGGTATATGTCCGTGCCCTATCTCTGCCCCTCACTCCCAAGTCACAGTCCCCCAGCCCTGCTGCTACCCCTCACTCCTGACCCACTGTACCCTGCCCCCCCCCAGACTATGCTGGTACCCCTCACTTCTTACCTGCAACCCCCATCCCTGCGGAAACCCGTCACTTCTTACCCACAGCCCCCTGCCCTCCCAGCCCTGCTTCCCGCACAGGACATGCACACACACACACTCCCTCTCTCTATCTCTTTTATCTGTCTGTAGCTGCCAGGGGCCACACACAGAGCACATGATGCCCCAGCCTCCAATCACCTTTCTCTGCTGCCCCCAGCCCCAAGCAACTCCTTGCTCAGGCAAGCTGGAAGTACAGGGAAAAAAGCAGAGGCAGAACAAAATCCTGGACATTTGCTTGCATTTAAAAAACGCACCTGGATGGAGGGCAGAAAACAAAATAAGAGGCCTGTCTGGGAAAACTAGGGCATATGGTAACCCTAGTGTTACTGCTTATTACCTGATATGTAATTCCTAAGTGTATGCACCTTAACATTAATATTTATTTACCTGTACCTTTCTCCTTAGCCCACTGGCTTGTGACCTTAACCCCTACCATTTTCTATATAAAAGTGGGAACTTCCCTTTTCGGCTTCCTGTGCTAGTTCCTGAGGTTACATTTGATACAACAGAAATAAGGGTTATTACATCAGAAAGACAGATTGTATAAGAGGAAGTAACTACCATTTTTACCCAAATCCTAGATGATTTTGAATTTAAGATGACTCCCTAATCATTTGATTATATATGGGGAAAAATTATAAATTTGTTATAATTTTTCATGTATAGAATCTAATTATCAAAGGGTGTTCTTAAATTCATTCCCCCAAGGCTTCAGCACAAAAAGCAGTGGCAGGGGGCATGCTGTGAAGAGGCAGGTGGTTGGTTGGGTCATGCAGCCCCTTTGCCCCCTGCCCCTCCCACTCGCCACCCCTATAGCCTGCCCCCCATGGCACCTGTGCCCCCTGCTGCCTGATCCCCACAGCTTCTGTCACCTACAATCTCTGCCCCCACCTCCCCCCCTGCAGCCTCTG